TTTTTAATATCTTTGAAGTCTAGAGATGTGTTTTGGGACTGTAGAGGTAGTGTTGGAGTCATGCACATACTCAGAGTACCATACAAACAAAACGCCAGGGAAATTATTTGGTGCTTATCCCTTGAAAACAGATGTATGTCTTCAGGTGCCAAGTAGGCTGTGTATACAACGATTGAATAGTAGAGAAATGGAGAATAAACCCTACCTCAGAGCATCCAGATAGGGAAAGGTTGCTCAATAGCTATGCAGAACCAGAGTCCCACTAATGTACCTGGCAGCCCAGGCCTTGACGTGCTTGATCTCCTACAGGGACCCAGGAGAGAACTTACTAGTATGAAGTTATCACTGACATGCAATAGCTTTCAGAGAAAACTCTTTTACTGTCTCTTCTGAACTGAAGAACCTACAATAGTTTCCTGCCCACTACTTAAATGAAATCTCTTTAGAGTTTTAATGCTATTTATGAAATGCCCTCCTGCCCTATACTTTTCTTGTATTTTTTAATCTATACTCCCCAGTTACACTGTTTACCTGTCTACTCTGCCTCATTTCAACCTGTTCCTAGGTTCACTGCCCATCCCTACTCCACTAATCCTCCTCATCCCATTATGTACTGTGGCTCTGTCTTTCAGTATCATTTTATAATTCAAGGATTATCAGAAATATAACTCCTCTAGGGTCCTGGCTCTGGTTCCAGAATGCCTTAGATCAAATTGCCACATTAAGAAAAAATTTATTTATCTATCTCTATCTATCTATCTATCTATCTATCTATCTATCTATCTATATCTCTATCTATCTATCTATCTATCTATCTATCTATCTATCTATCTATCTATCTATCTATCTATATCTGTTTTCAGAGAGAAATGGAGGGGGGAGACAGATAGAAACATCAATGATGAGAGAGAATCATTGACTGCCTCCTGCATGCACCCCACAGGGAAACCAGCCTGCCTCTGGGCATACCCTGACCTGGAATCAAATCCTGATCTGGTTCATAGATCAACACTCAGCCATTGAGCCACGCTGGCCAGGCCGAATTGCCACATTTAACTGCTGGACTTTGTACCCTCTCCCTAATTGGAGCTCTAGCTGCAGAGGTCAGGGCAAATTCAGCTACTAGTAAAAATCCTTTCATTCCAGTCCAGGTACAATCTCATTGAAACTTTTGACTTGGTTTCTATGTTTCAGTGGGAAGGCAAAGAGGGAACACCGAGCCTGCTGTTCATGACTGAACACACATCCTCTCTTTTGATGCTTTATTATTTATTAGATTACCTGGCCATGCCTGCTGTGCCCCACCCTTTCACTAGCCTCACCAAAATGATCCCCCCCCCCCCCCCGCCCAGTTTTCTAGCATTATTCCTCCTCAAAAGTATTTCTGAGGCTAATTATAAATACTTATTTTGGGCCTTCAAAATCAGGTAATCCTGGTCGGGGCCTAGTATTCCACATATAAATTTGTACCCTGAGTGCCTCTTGGCTGTCTAATATTTGAGGACCATTGTCCAAAGACCCTGCTAGGTAAGCGATTAACTAATTAAATGAATTCCAGCCAAATTTTCATAAAGGCAATGGGTGGAACTTACCTTCCAGCTAGTAATTGTATGCTTTGTTAAGTAAGACTCTGAATCTGAAGTTATAATAATGTAAAATTGTGGTAGGGAAGGACAAGAACAGAGGAAGTGGCTTACTTATATTAGTTAAAAATGATTTTTAATGTGCTAAAGTATCATAGTATGTTCGGTGATAATCACATTTTTATAAATGAGCTTAAGTTCTGGGGAAATTCAGTTCTATTTCTTAAAGTGTTTTAATCTCATTATGACTCTGATACACAATGATTTATGGACTCATCAAAAGAAATGTCTCCAACCAAAAAAAAAAAAGTATCAGTTTTCCACACGTTAGATTAAAAATCACATAAAAAATGTGGAACATGGTAGTGAAAAAAAAGCTGTTTTTAATTAAAAAGGATCATATGAACAATGATTATACACCATGTTAGAATTTACTGGGCTGCTTTTCTGAAAAGATATATTTAATGGCAGCAGAATAAGCTTCTTCACTCTAGCTAGTGTAGAGCTAACCACTATTTTAGAAAGACTGCTTTCAGTTGGTGGGGGAAAAATTATTTTCCCAGTCTGTAGCCTCTGCTGAAGCAGCTAAAGAAAGGTTTTGATTGGTTAAGCTTAAAAAGATAAAAAAGAAGAAGAAAAAAACCAAACAGTTGTTCAGTAAGACTGAAACTCAAGCAAAATAGATGTATTAAAAACTTATACTTTATGACAGGAAACAGCCCTGACTTATTTTTAACTTTTACTTATAATAAGAAATGAGAAGTTCATTGTTTAGGATGAGATGAGAATTAAAATTGGCCTTTTTAACTGAGAGTTTACTTGTATTCTGTTGTCACTTCTAGTCTAAAGTTATGATCGCTTAAGTCTGGAAACATGGGCAGTTCACATCTAAGATTTTTCATTTGCAAACTAAGGATTGTTTTTGCCATTATTCCTTAATAACCTGCAGTTGTGATTATTTCCTGCCTCCCTTCCTGATTGCCCCTAACCGCTTTTGCCTGCCAGCCTGATCACCCCCTAACCACTCCCATGCCAGCCTGAATGTTGTCTAACTGCTCCCCTGCCAGCCTGTTTGCCCCCAACTTCCCTCCTCTGCCGGCCTGGTCACCCGTAACTGCCCTCCCCTGCAAGCTTGATTGCCCCCAACTGCCCTCCCTTGCAGGCCTGGTCCCTCCCAACTGCCCTCCCCTGCTGGCCATCTTGTAGTGGCCATCTTGTGTCCACATGGGGGCAGGATCTTTGACCACATGGGGGAAGCCATCTTGTGTGTTGGAGTGATGGTCAATCTGCATATTACTCTTTTATTAGATAGGATAGAGGCCTGTTGCTTCTGTGGAGGCCAACTGGTTTTCCCGGATCAGGGTGGGGGTTCTTTTGGGGAATAGGGCAACCTGGGCGAGGGGCCTGTCATGGTTTGCAGGCCGGCCATGCCCCCGCAGTGACCAAAGCAGAAAATATAGAGCATATATATTCAAAATTTAATATAGACTTTCATGATCCACCAGAAGCCATATTAAGAATCTGCTACATTCATTCTTGCTGGGTGATTTCATTGGTCTCTTTTATAAGATGACTTCCAAATTCTTAAACTGATCTTGGCTTCTCTCCATAACTTAAGATGCATATTCTTCCTGAATTCTTTCATTGCCTGGGTTCTGATCCTTTTGACCTCTCATCCAAATTACTACAACAGCTTTTAACTCTTCTTGCTTTCAGGCTTGTGACCCTCGATTTCCTCCACAGAGCTTCCAATGATTTATTATTCTGACCTTTTCAGCTCTAAGGTCTGATTCTTTGTTTTCTATGGAAATGGTCCAAACTCTTGCATGACACACACTCCCGTACCATCCCTCCTTTGTGGAGGATCCTTCTTGTGCCTACTATAATCTGTGCATATCTTCATTATTGTATAGGCTTTAAATAGAAATTCTCTTTTCCAGTGCTATCAGAATTGAGAGTTGAGCAGTTAATTGAAGAAGTTGATTAAAATAAAGTTGTTAAAAAAAATAATACATGTAAAATATTTATAGATAAACAAGGAATTTGATATAAGAGAAAATGCTAAGAAACATTTAAATTCCTGCTTAATGTTTATATGCTACAGAAGAGTAGAATTTATATTTCTGTAAAGATTCATTTATGCCACTAATATTTTATTTTTTTCTTTGTTCTGATGAATCTTTTATTAAAATAAAAAATATTACTTTTATGTAAAAAATACATGCATATTTAAAAATTTATTTCAACTTAAATATATAAAGACATTCGTTTGCCAATTTTTTCATACATGACCAACACACTTTTTTTGAGTATGGGTACTTGATTAGAATTCATTGTTCATTCTTGATTAAGCTGAACCCAGAATGTATCCTCTAGCTTTTTGGTTTATATGAAAGTTTAACTTTAAATGAAAGAATTTAAGCCACGTTAGCAGCAATCTGAGTATAGAATCCTAGATTTGTATGCTTTTTCCACTACCAGTTTTCAGTTGAATTACCCATATCTACTATAATAGTAGTCTGTTTTTCCAAAGTAAATTTGCTTTTATAAAGTCTTTCCAAGGCATTAAATCTTAGAAATAACAGTTGTCTTTGTTTTGAAATTACATTTTATTGGTTTGGTTAGTGTAACATTTCATTAAAGTATATTTATAATACAAGAATGTGGTTTGTGAACATGTCAACTTAGGGGAGTAGAGATTGCTTCATGATCAGAATGCTGTAGATACTGGTAATGTTTATAGAGGGAATGGACATTGTGTTGATAAATATGGCAAAGTTGGTTGGATCGAGATTGGTTATTTTTATGGCTCATCTTCCTTATTACAATACTAGAGCCCCGGTGCAGGAAATTCATGCACTTGGTGGTGGTGGTAGTGGGATCCCTCAACCGCTTGTGCCCTCTCACAGTCCGAGAGTCCATTGATCACCCCACAGAGGGAGGCCCTCATACCTGCTGCAGCCCGCTGGTCAGTGGCCTGGGCTTGCCTCTTTGGGGCAATCACGGAGCCTCCCCCGATCAATTGCCCTGCTGGTCAGTGGCCTAGGCCTCCATTTCAGGATGATCGATTGCAGAGCCCTCCTGATCTATCACCCTGCAGAAGGTGCTTTGGGATAATTCTGGAGCCCTCTGATTGATCACCCCGCCAACTGATGGCCTGGGCCTCTCTCTGCAGGGCAATTGTGGGGCAATGGTGGGGCCCCCTGACAATAGCATAGCACTCGCCTTGGCTGGCCAGGTGCCGGCACATGTCATAGCGTGGTTGTCTGGATGGTCATTCTGTGTTTGTCCATTCAGTCAGTTTGCATATTATGCTTTTATTATTATAGATGAGTTCTTATTAAGCAAGAGCTACATATTTTTTTTTATTTCTGTATAGTTAATACCTAATTTTTTTTATTGCAGTTATCATTTACTATGGAAGAAGATGAACTTTTTAGAGAAAAAACATTCCAGCATTATTGTGCAGAATTCATCAAACATTCACAGCAGATAGGTGATGGTTGGGAATGGAGAACTTCAAAGGTAAGAACAGAAAATTTTATTTCCCATTTTGATGGAGTTTTTTTAGTTCTTTTTTTTCCATGTAAATTCTTAGTAATTAAAACTAATGTATGAAGGCTAGCTTGATTCAGTAAAGGGGTTAAGTTGAAGAATATTTTAAAACAGATGTCCATTGTATTACTTCAACTATATGTACTCATTATAATTAGGCTAATGAAGTATTATCTAGAAAAGTCTTTAGGTGACTTGCTTTAATTTAATAAGATAAGAATGCTTAACATATTAATTATCTGAATATAAACAGATGCTTCTGTGGTGCTTCAAACCCTTTGTTTATACTATTAATTTTTTTAGGAAACTATTTTTGCCCAGAGAATGAAAAGATAATCCTGAAACCAAACCACGGTCAATCACAAAATTTGAAATATTGAGGACTGTACTAATTAGGATCTTTTTTATTTTGTTTCTTTATTTTTGTTGTTGCTAAATTGGGAATTTTTTAATAGTATAAACACATTTTAAAACTTTTTTGGTTCTATTCAATAATAGTCAAAAGGTCTATATACTCATTTTATTTTCACACATATAGTTAGTAAGGTTCTCTGTCAAAAGCTTTTTCAGTTCCTTGAAAGCTTCAGTTCTTAGAGAATAAGTTTCCTCTACTTGACACCTTATCTGATTCCTGAAAAAGTGATGAATCTCGATTCTCTGCAGAATGGCTGTGTTTCCTATCTGCACTCTGAGAAACACGAACCATTTTAAGCTGAATCCTATGATTCAGAACTAGGCCAGGGAAATGCAGGTCTTGATCATGTCTAGAGTATCACTGGGGAGAGAAGCCATAATTTCTTCTTGGGTTATATGTCAGCTCAGTTTTGACAGGGTGGCTCATGGGATGGTTCAGAGGTGTGGTAGAGTCTAGCTCCACTATCTCAGTTAGGGATGGGACAGTCCACACACCCCTAGGGCATCTCCTGCTCCAGGAAAACATGACCTTACTGGCACCCTTTATTAATTTTTATTCCTATTTTATAATTTTGTTTGCTATTGTGTTTATATTTTTAGTCATATTACTAGAGACCCAGTGCTCCAAATTCATGCACAGGGGGTGGGGGGGAGAGGGGAGAGAGGAGGAGTGTCCCTTAGCTCAGCCTGCACTCTCTTACAATTCCGACTGCTGGTTTAGGCAGGGATTGGGCCTAAACCAGCAGTTGGACATCCCTCTTGCAATCCGGGACCATGGCTCCTAACCTCTCACCTGCCTGCCTGCTTGATCGCCCCTAACCACTCACTTGCCTGCCTGATCACCCCTAACCACTCTACCTGCCTGCCTGATTGCCCCTAACCACTTTGTCTGCCTGCCTGATTGCCCTCAACTGCTCACCTACCTGCCTGCCTGATCATCCTTAACTACTCTGCCTGCCTGCATGATCGCCCCTAACTGCTTACCTGGCTGCCTGATCACCCCTAACCACCTCTACCTCAGCCCCCATCTCTGTGGCTTAGTCTGGAAGGATGTCCGGAATGACGTCCAGAAGATCATTCAGCTGTCAGGTCTAATTAGCATATTGCCCCTAAATTATTATAGATTTCTTCTATGATTATTATTGACATATTAGGGGCGCAGTGCATAAATTCATGTACTTTGAAAGGAACTGTGGGTCATAAGGCTGCAGTGGGCACAGGGTCAGATCTCGGCCCATCCTCCATGCCCCGGCCTGGTTCCTCCTACCATAGCCCCTGGTTCCCTGTCTGCCGGCAGCCCCCATCTCCCACTGGTTGACCCTGCTCGAACCTGCTGATGGTACAGAGCAATTGGGGGTGGCACCAGCAGCAGGTGCAAGAGGGGCCAGCGGTGCCATTGGTATGAGTGGCGGCTGCTATTCTGATTGCCCCTTAAAAGCAGGGGGAGGTGGAAAAGCCCTCAGGGGTGATCAGGGCCAGCAGCTGCCACTCGCACCTGCTGATGGTGTCTAGTGATCAATATTAGAGCCTGTGCCAGTAGTGGTTGTGAGTGAGGCTGCTGCCAGCAGCAGGCGAGAGTGCTGAGTGGGACCTTGGCATGCAGAAGCAAAGAATTCTCAGGCTCACCCTGATGTCATTGACTGGAGCCCCATCTTGGTCTGGCATCCCCACTCACCTGCTCCACCATCCCTCTGTGGCTTTACACCTGCCAAGTTCCACATTCTGCTGCCTGCTGTTGATGACTGCCATGTTTCATGCATGCCCCCTAGTGGTCAGCACACGTCATAGTGACTGGTTGTTCAGTTGTTTGGTTGTTCCGCTGTTCGGTCTATTTGCATATTAGGGAATATATATATATATATATATATATATATATATATAATGTTAAAGAACTGCTAATTTTTGTATATTAATTTAGCAATTATTCAATGACTGATTTTATAATTCATAGTCTTTATAATTTTTTCAGTGATTTTCCTGTAATTTTATAGGTAGAGTGAGATCATATGCAAGTGAAATTTTTTGATGCCTTATTTATAATATTTTTTCTATTATTTTATGAATTGATTAGAAAATGTTAATGATAAAAGTTCTCTTTGTCTTTATCCTGTCTTAATACTTCTGTATATAATAATTAAATAAAATCATTGGTTGTTGATTGTTTATTCATTTTTTAATATATTTTTTATTATTATTATTTTATTATTTTTTAAATAAATTTTTATTGTTCATATTATTACAAATGTTCCTCCCCCCCCCCCATTGCTCTCCTCCACCAGGTTCCCACCCCACCATCTGCCCTTTCCCCACCCCCCATTGTCCTCATCCATAGGTGCACAGTTTATGTTCAGTTTCTTCCCACATCCCCCTCTCCCCTTTTCCCCAAGAATCGTCAGTTCACTCCCCTTCCATACCTCTGATTCTATTATATTCAACAGTTAATATTGTTCATCAGATTTTTTTTTTAATTTTCTTGGTTTTTAGATTCACTTGTTGATAGTTATGTATTTGTTGTTCATAATTTTTATCTTTATTTACTTTCTCTTCTGAAAGAACCCCCTTCAGCAATTCATATAATTCTGGTTTGGTAGTGATGAACTCCTTTAGCTTTTTTTTATTAGAGAAGCTCTTTATCTGGTCTTCGATTCTGAGTGATAGCTTTGCTGGGTAGATTATCTTTGGCTGTAGGTTCTTACTATTCATCACCTTGAATATTTCTTGCCATTCCCGTCTGGCCTGCATGGTTTCTGTTGAGAAATCAGCTGACAATCGTATAGGTGCTCCTTTACAGGTAACTACCTGCTTTGCTCTTGCTACTTTTAATATTCTCTCTTTGTCTTTTGTGCTTGGAATTTTAATTATGATTTGTCTTGGTGTGGTCCTCTTTGGATTCCTTTTGTTTGGAGTTCTGTGTGCTTCCTGGAGTTGTAAGTCTAATTCTTTCACCAGGTGGGGGAAGTTTTCTGTCACTATTTCTTTCAGTATGTTTTCAATGTCTTGCTCTCTCTCATCTTCTGGGACCTCCATAATTCTGATGTTGGTTCGCTTGAAGTTGTCCCAGAGGTTTCTTACATTATCTTCAATTTTCTGGATTCTCTTGTCTTCTTGCTTCTGCGGAGGAGTGTCTTCTGGCTCTTTATGTTCCAAAACTTTGACTTGATTCTTGTGGTCTTCCATTCTGTTTTTAGGACTCTGTATAATATTTTTTATTCCAGACAATGTATTCTTTATTTCTTGTTGATCTCTTATCATTTCTTGTTAATTCCTTATTAATTCTAGTTGATTCCTTTTCATATCCTCATAGTTCTTATCGACCTTTTCTAGGAAATTCTTGAAAAACCTTATAAGCATAGATTTGAATTCTATATCTAGTCGCTTTTTTTCCTCCATTTCTTTCGTTTGTGATCTGTTTTGTTGTCTGGGCATTTTCGCAGCTTCCCTGATGGGGCGGGGTTTCAGGGTGGAGTCTGCAGCCTTGGCTTCCGTCAGCCCCACCCTATGCGGTTCCTCAGTCTCAGTAATCCCCAGGGTCCTTCAGTACTCGCTGCAAGCACCTCTGAGAGAAAGGTGCCCTCAATTTTCGCCTGCTACCAAACAGTCTAGGCTCTCCCCCAATGGGCCCGGTATTGGGGTTCATCCCAGTTGGAAGTGGAGTTGGAGGTGGCGTTCAGAGCAGTCCGGAGCTTTTGTCTCCTTCCCTCCAGGGCAATCCCGCAGCACAGCCAACGTCCCTTCTCCGCGCGCAATGTGCGCACCGCCAGGACCTCCTTTAGCCCCACCCCTGGGGTTCCGCCTTACAGCCCAGCTCCCTATGAATGAGCCTGGGTCCCTGGGGTCTGGCCTAGAATTGGGATTCAGAGCAATCGGAACTGGGGCTCAGCACAGTCGGAGCTTTTATCTCCTTCCCGCTAGGGCATGCCAGCCAGGCACTCAGCCGCCCCTTCTCTCCGGCTCCGTCCTCTCCGCGCGCCGCGTGTCTCTGTACCTTAGGCTTTTACAGCTCCTCCGCTCTTCCTTCTGGCCTTCTCCTTGCTTCTCGTTGTAGAATTTCCAGTCAGTCGACTTTCCTGTAGTTCTGGGTAATGTCCATTTTATATTTTAGTTGTATTTTATTGAAATTGTTGTGTGCGGCTGCGACTGCGGTTTACCTGTGCAGCCATCTTGGATTCTCCCCCTGTTTATTCATTTAATGAGTAAAGGTTTCAGACCCCTTTCTTTTCTTTCTTTCTTTTTTAAATCTTGTTGTTGAAAGTATTACATATGTCCCTCTTTTTCCCCTATTAACCCTTCTAGTCCACCCCCACCTCCAACCCCAAGATTTCACTGCCCTATTGTCTGTGTCCATGGGTTATGCATATGTGCACATAAGTTCTTTGGTTGATCTTTTCCCACCCACCCACCTTGTTTAAGACCCCTTTTGACCTATAATAATTTGTGTGGTTAGTCCTTGGGAACTTTCTCTTTTCACCAGGTTTCCTAAAGAAGATTTTTTTTTTTTTTAATCTTAAACTGGAGAAAGAATGATATAGATTCCTGTTACCATTTTTGTGACCCTG